CCAACAACAAAAAGCTCAATGGGAAAGGGCAACATAGCTCTGTACATAGTCTGATGCTTCAAAACAAAAAAATATCCTCTGACCTTTTCCAAGTCCAGCTCCTTTAACAGGATGCTAGCATTCTTATTTGCTTCTGCAGCTTGTTGGTCTTTGGCTTTTACAATGGTTTCCATGCACTGGTGGCATTTCTTCAACAGCTCCTGAGAAGAAGAGCACAGATTTCATGCCCTTAAGTCTGGGGCTTCACAACTTTAGCAGGGCCTGGTCTCTGACAACAACGGAAGAGGAAAATGTTCCTGAGCCAAACTGTACATATTTAAAATGAAAGCAGATATGATTACTATATCTTCTTATGGGTCTATGTCTACGATTAAGTAGTCTAAAAAGAATCGGATATGCTTACTTATCAAGCAATAAACCAATAATCCAGACATCAGAGGCCACATCCTTTACACAATACATTCCACCGCGTTCCGTCCCCAGATTGATAAAATACAGAGCACTTCATCTTACCTTGTCGGCAATGGTGGCAATATATCTCATGCACTCGATGTCGGAAGGGAACTGATTAACTTCTTTCACAAGATACTGGACGACTTTCACGTGGCCCTGCAAAAATAAAGAGTCAGATCTGGAAGCTCCAAATAGCTGGTTCTGAGCCCAGTTTCTTGTGGAACAGCCACAGATGGAAGTTCCAAAGGGCATATAAGGGCTTTCCAAATAAAAGACACTAGAACAAAGCAACAGTGCAAACCTGCAGAAAATATTCCTATATACTGGGACATGCAGACCGACGTGGGGCAAAAGCGGCACTTGCCTTGCGGAAAGCAGCCATGAGCGGAGTGATCTTCCTGTTGTCGGCAGCGTCCACGTCCGCACCAGCCTGGACCAGCAGCTGGACAACGTCGAAGTGACCGCCGTTAGCAGCCAGCCAGAGAGGCGTGTTCCCCTTCTTGTTGCGTACGTCAATATGAGCCCCTCTGTCAAGAGCAACGGCACGTTATTACATCCTTAGTGCAACGTGAGGTGGCCATGTAACAGAAGGGAACGCAAATCACCCACAACTTAAAGTTAAGCTAAATAAGGAATGTGAGAACGAAGGGAACTGCTGGTTCATGTGGTACGTGCAACTGCGTAGGTCCAGAAGCAATTATAAACCCTTGTCAATCAAGTGTCGACTCCTGTCAGTGCAAGGAATAACATTTTCTTCCAAAGAATTTAAGGTTTAAGTAGGTTAAGAGAACTGTCTCAGAAAAACATAAGTAGTTTCCAGGGTTTAAAGGAAGCCATCCCCAAGATAATATAGGCAAGTCTGGTCATTTCTTCCCGCCAGCCCATGAGCAAGAAGGCTTGTGTGCGTGTTCGCCGTTTCTCCGTATGACAGAGATGGGCCTGTAAATCAAATGTCACAGACTTCTTAAAATCCAGCTGGGGTATAACTCAGATTGCAGAACAGACTGCAGCTGTTTGTCCTAATGTCAAACAAATATGCATTAAGATCCTATAAACACACTATGTGCTTATAGGAATAAGTACTCCATACAGAATTTAAATTGTGGAGTACTTCTATCTAACAGCTTGATTTTCCAAGTATGCTGTTCAGGTTGAACCAGCAACAAGATGGATCTCCGCTGATACTGGTTACCTTTTTTCAAAACCCGAAAACAAGTGAACCTGTGATGATGCTTACTGACAGAGAGACCCTGCAGCTGCCTTCCTGACTCTCACAGTCATACCTGTTGATGAGAAGCTCACAGAACTTGTAATGTCCCTTGTCGGCAGCGATAGTTAAAGCTGTGTCCCTTGACGAAGGCACTGGTGGTGCGTTGACATCGGCTCCTTTGTCCAGCAGGACTCTGCCCACCTCTGCATAGCCTCCTGATGCAGCCTCCATCAACGGGGTCAAGCCAGTCTGTGGGGCAGGGAGCACACCAGCGTTCTCACAACCACCCCTCAAAAACCCTCACAGCCACATATTGAGGCCTTGCTCCTCAGCAATCCATCAACTTGACTTCAATTTACTGAAAACCACAGATACCCCTTTAACCGTTGAATCCTATCAGCTGTACCAATGCCTTCAACAGGTCTGGTGCAGCAGAAAATGAACACACAATATTCCAACCACCAGCGTGTAGCTAATCCCTTTTCTTCTATTCTGGAATGCCACTGCTATGCAAACAATTTAAAATTAAGATATTTAAAACAATGGAACATTGCACTGATACAAAATGGAAATTGTCATGAAACTGTGGGCACTTTGCTCTAACGCATTTTGATTTAAAAAACATTTCACTCATGTTCTTATTTCAGAATTTAAATTCAACTAGGCTCTCTGTAATTTGAGACTTATATCACTGGTGCAAAACGAGCCCTTTTAATCCCAGCAGCCCACAAATGCAGTACTTATTAGAGTATGGAACTCTGAATGTCATAAAAGCTAGACTGTAAATACAATGAATCATAAGGTAAAATAAAGAGAAACACTGTGGCCACTACAGTTGCATTAGGATCAATGCAGAAAAGGCATTCTCTCACATGCGGCTCTCCTCTGTCTGTAGTAGTGAAGACAGGACAGAACTGCTTTTATGGTCTAAACGGAGACTACCAGGTTAAGACCAGTTTGTGATTTTAAAAAGTGTGAGGTGTCTGAAGTGCCCTCTGTTCAGGTACAGCTCCAGGACTCTGGAGTTGCAGACTGACACCTGCCTTGGCCCTGTGCTCCACATTTGCCTTCCTGTCCAGCAGCAAGCTGACCACCTCTGCTCTGCCTTGAAAGCAGGCAAGGGTTAGGGCTGTGTTGCGGTTGGTCTCGATCTGGGCATTGATGTCCGAGCCCATGTCCAGCAGTAACTTCACTGCAGGCACATGCCCATTCATGGCAGCCAGCATCAGTGGAGAAATTCCAAGCTTGCTCCCAGTCCTGCAAACAAAGCATTTCATAGAATAAATTTACAACTGTAAAAGGTGCCCTCTGATTTTCATGTGCACAGAAGAACCTGTTTGGTTCAACCCCATGCTAACATGGCTACACTGAAGTCCAAACGCCACATGCATATAACAATATTCAGCACACAATGACAACGCACTAATAAGTGCATTACAACCTGTCCATGTATGAAATAAAGCAAGCATTATCTAGATTGCATTACTATCTTATGGTTATGTGCAATAAACCAGAATGTACAGTACACAAAAGATGTGTTTTGTATCTTCTGTAATGTGAGCAATTCTGTATACTCCATTTGGTTTAGGTTTTACTTCTCACTAACTATACTTGTTGTATTGTGTATTATTGTATCTTATCTTTACACTGTGCTGTGTTGACTGTGCTAGGCTGCTGTTGCACTGCAATTTATAATAGTATCTTTATAATAAAGTATCTATCCAGAGAGCTAAATTAATGAATTTGAACATTTAGTTACAATACATTTTCAATTTGCCTCAAAGATAGGAATTTATATCAGTGAGGCACAGGGCTCCATTTCTTTTGAGATGCATGTCACTACAACCACAAGAGACGTGGGAGTCCCTCAGCGATGGAATACCTTGAGTTGATCTCCGCCCCGGCGTTGAGGAGGATCTTGATGATGTTGACATAGCCCCCAGAGGCGGCCAGGCTCAGCGGTGTGTAGTCGGAGACATTGCGATGCTCTTTATTGGCACCACGCAACAGCAGCAACTCCACAACCTGGAAGGCAGAGTTGAGGTCAGCCTCCGTGCACTGGACCCGACAGCAACAAAACTCGGAGACTTCCAGGAGAACACATTAATACTCCCCACAGCGTTTCATCTGAGCACCTTCACCACCTGCATGACAATCTCAAAAGGAGAGGTTATACTCTTTGCTTTTAACCTGGTGAAGGGAAAAACACGAGACCCAGCGGTACAGAGACTAAGAGCCAGGCTTGGGACAGCTGCATACCTCTTGCCTCCCTCCAGAGCAGGCCAGAGAGAGCGGCGTGTCTTTGGTTCGCTCTGACTGGGCCTCGATGTCTCCTCCTTTGTCCAGCAGGATCTCCACCACGCCCACGTGTCCTGCTGTGGCGGCCAGGATGAGCGGAGTGAAGCCTGGGAAGGGGACAGCATGTCAGACACCTTGCAGGCCCCAGTATTTCCAGTAGTAGGATCCATGCTTCACCATTAACATGCTGCACAGTGGCATTGCCAGGAACGATCACCAGTCTAACCCTAGGAAGACTGGGCACTTTAAGATCTATTTTAAGGACTTGTGAACGTTCAACAAGCAGTCAGGGGGTAACATGAACAGTACCAACCCTTCTTGTCTCTGTGCTCAATGTTGGCCCCGCGCGCTATTAACACCGACACCAGCTCTTCGTGTCCTCCTGCACAGGCCAGCGTCAGTGCAGTGTCGTGGTTGCTTTCCGTCTGCAAATAAACAGCGCGTAAGCAGGGCAGCAGACGTGCAATACAGGCTGCAAAAAGCCGACTGAGGTTCTGACAAGACAGCGTTGGCTATCACCCTGCTTAACTGTAAGAAGGGGAAACATTTAAAACAATGGTGCGTTCTGGGGTTCCATGACTAAATGCTACATCTAGCTAAAAATAAAACACCCCGGCAAGAGGAAAAAGCTCCCCCTGGTGGCCTCCAACGCAGAATTGCACTTCTGAGGGCGCAAAAGTCTTACATGCGCGTCTATGTCCACTGACGGGTAGAGAGGCAGCATCGACGGAGGGGAGACGGCGCTGCTGGGCGTCTGGGCTGGGGGCTGAGGCGTGGGCGAGGGAGTAGTGTTCAACATGGGCACTCGGCTGCTCACCGCTGCAACACAGAGGTGGGGAAACATCAACCACCCACACCGATCCTCTGCCAGGGGGACCCACCGGACCCCGCCGGCTCTGCCCTCTGGACAGCTCGTCGTGCACAACAGAAGGAGAAGCGAGAAACTCCTTCTCGCTCTCCAAATTAACTTTTGGAACTAGAACAAGGGTAAACGGAAATATCTAACTGGAACGTCTCACCTGCTCGAAGGAATAATGACGTTAAGCAAATTTAAATCAGCTCTTTGCGATGCCCATGTTCAAAGCAGACAAAGCCCGAATGAACACAAAATGGCTTTTAAGTAACAGCATGAGAAATACTCAAATCTAATATACAAATCTCCTTTGGAATCCTATATTGTACAACACAATGTCAATAAATTTAATCCCTTCAAGATCAAAAACATATTTTTTTGCCAGAACAAAAAAAGCAAGGTACGCTTAGCTTGCTGGTGTTAAAATGTCCTATGATGGAAAGGGCCTAACTGGCCCTCCATAGGTTGTTTTTGCACTGAACACCGTTGACAAATTGAGGAACGCAAAAATTCTCCGCACTAGACTCGTTTAAGTCACGAGTACTCTGGACAAATTTTCAGCTTTCATTTTCCACCTGCAACAGCGATGACTTTAACAGTTAAAGTAGTTTTAACAGCTCATAAAGTTGCAGGAATAGAACATGCTTTAAAATGTTCAGAAGTAAAATTAACATGGCAAAGGAGTGCAATAAAAGGGGAAAAAATGGAACAATTGCTGGCCTTATGGATTAAAGATCTGGACAACAGAAACGCTCCTACCAGGAGGAAGAAAGCTACAAGCTTGCATAATGAGCTGGAAGAGGAAGATGCTGCAATGAAAAATGACTGTTAACGCTGTAAAGCTCGAATTGAGTCTGGACGTTAAATTTATCCAATGTCCTGGCTGGTAAAGCATCGGTCAACTTAAAATACAAAACATTCTGCCGGATAATTGACACCACTCTCAATTTTCAGCGAGAAAACGGCAGCAGTGTGGAGTAGGCGTGAGGGCTCTCGATTTATAACTGGAAGGGTGTGGGATGCTGCTGTACCTTTGAGCACAATATGTCACTCATATTGTTCCTGTAAAAACTGCAGCTGTATACATGGAGACCAACACAAGGCATTTTGCATGAAAGAGCGAGTTAAAGTTAGTAAAGAACGGTTCTCTCCAGCTCCAAAAGCAGCCATATACTTATTTGGCATTTCTGTTGATGCACTACATCTTTCCAACTTGACCACCCTGCATGATTACAGATTTCACTCATGCAGGAGGTCAAGGAGACCCTGCAGGTGTTACACAGGCCAGTGTGAATCATGGATCGGGCAATCCTGATCTCGCACACACAAGCCAGACAAACACCAGTGATTTCTGGAGTGTACAGGACTTTGTTCAAGCCTACCGGCCACACCAGAGAACGTTCCATCTTGGACTAGGGATACCATAAATCCAAGCTGATTTTAGAAGTGGTTCCTCAAAAGTGTTCCTTACTGAATCTCCATTATCTGGTTCACCTTAATCAGTAAAGGTGCTGCACTGTGGGCAAAGCTTGTGCCCTGTAGCTCAACAGCTGCTATAATGAGTTATGTCAACTCTGGATTCCTACCTGGAAGTCCCTATGTGACTTCAAGACTCTTATATGATGGGGTGTAGAACCTCCACCTGCTGCAGAGTCTACAGGATGAAAAGCTGCAGATGGCCGTGACTGTGAATGTTTCAGAAGAACATGTGCATAGTCCTCATCCCTTTGCTGGTACAGGAATGACAGTAGTGCAACTAGTTTAACTGACAGCTCCAAGGGGGGGCCTATAACAAACCATGGAGTGCAAAACAAGTATCAGATGTTAAAACTACACCGGAAACAGAAGAAACTGGAGTGTACTAGTTTCCTCCTTTCTGCATTAAAATGTCTAACATGCAATTTCAGAACCCAATCACTTTGATCGGACAAGAGTAAGCCCAACAGGGTGCTGAAAAACAATTCAAGACATCCTTTCAGTAGAATATTTTCAACCATAAATATAAATAAAAACCAAACTTCAGATATACACTAAACTCCTCTGCTGTTAAAAAAAAAAGGTCAAACTGATTTGATCTGCAGCTCACTCTGTCAAGTGTGCAGCACATCCTCTCTGCTCTGGTCAATTCAACGTCCTCTACAGCACCCTGGTGGCTTTCATTTCAGCTGAATTACATAACTGAAGACCTAACTGAACGGACAGGTTGCTTAACTGGAATGTGAGACAGTTCTTTTTCTACTAAAATATTTGGGATTTAATGTTCCTTATTAAATGTAATAGTTGAAAGGCAACCTCCAACATTTTTAAGAGCTGAATTAGCCTGTATAAAGAATGTTGAGTCATGGATTATTTTCAGGAAGGTTATATTTAGTTTTCAAATCACAACCTTTCCAATTACATGCACTATGAATTATTGAAAACTTACAGTTTCCAGCTTTACTCTATTGAAAGCACAACAAAAAATAACTGGTATGTCTGCTGTAGGACTACTTCATCAGGGAAGAAACCGATTTTAAGACTTGCTTTGCAACACACCTTCAACAAGGCTTTCAAAATGTAATGTCCACAAGCGATTTAAACCAAAAATTGCATAACCTTAATGAACTTAACGTAGTAAAATTCTATGCTAGGAAAGTTGTAATTAAAAACCCTTAGGTGTGCCACCATCATCAAAGAACCAACAAAACTTTAAGATAAAAAACTGAAAACAAATGTGCTTTTACCAAAACAAACCTAAACCCGAGTCCTGAGACTCAACACCAAAGACGGTGCAGGTTTCCTGTGTGGTCCTGGACAGGATCAGCAGGCAACACCAGAACCGGTCCTCAGAAGACAAGGAGAGCATTTTAATCAAACCATACCCATCCTCCCACCACTAACAAAGTGCAGCAACCACTATTTATCCCTGGAGCCTGCGTTCTTAAGTGCAACTGCAGTCAACAAGATTTGAGTGCAACTTTAAAACAAACACTAACCAGCTGCTAAATGAATGACATTTGCCAGCTCAATTAAATCGTTACTCTCTACACTAAATACAACCCAGTGCAGAGCATACAGAATTGAATTTAGCACTGAAAAAGTACAAGGTATTCCATGTATCAGGGAAAAGATCAGGATTCTCAATTTCATATTAAAAAAAGTGTTTTAAATACTCCCTAGTTCAAGGCATGATAAATAAAAGCCCCTTTGCACTTTTTAATAAACATCGGTCTACAAAGTCACAATGGGGAACCAAAAGGAGAACAAATGAACACCACTTTAATTCTGAACATAGTGAACTTGAATTCTTTATTACTCTTATGAATGAAGCAGGAGGTGAGGTGTTAACCTTGGTCCTGCCTTCCCTACTCTCAATGCACTGCAATACTCCCAACAATATGCAGAAAAACATCTAAAAAGGGGCTCAGTCAACAGACAGCTCACTAACACACGGGCCCTGTACAGAACAGGAACAGTGTAGCTGTGCTGGCGCGCTTGTTCACATATCAGTGCGTCACCACTGGTGAATCAGTGTCGTCTTAATGCCGCATTGCTGCCTAATCAAGTCTTTACAGCAGCATTGTTGGTAGGTATTTCTGTAGTTTTCATTTTTGACAGAAAATGCTTTTTTCAGTCTGTAGCATGCTGCGAAATATTGGCTCGGGGTCTGTGCACCATTCTCCTTAATGTCAGGTGCCGTTAGCCCAACCTGACCTACAGTAGGTGAAGCTAATGCCCGTTTTAAACTCCGCCGTTAATGACATCATCAATGTACCTGAGCTTCAGTGGAACAGAACCCGACGACACCACGCCCTGCAGGAGTCGAGTCTGAGGCCCTTGGCCTAGAGGATCCCCCTTTCTGCAAACCCCTCTCAGCCCAGCTGCTGGCCGAAGCCCTTGTACACTCTGCTGCCTCTGGCTCAGCTAAAAATGCACAATTGGTCAATTTAATAAAATGTTCTGAAACTAAGTAGTAAGTGCTATCATGAAAGCAAAACCCACAACTTTCACGTAATTTACATTTTAGCCATGTTGTACTGCACTTGATTAAAAAGCAGGAAGCCATGTTAAAGATTTTAGAGAGGAGGCAGATAATGAACCTGGCCTTCTGAATGGTACCGCAGTATAACCGGTGTGCAGTCCTGCCTAAACAATTGGCTCAAACTTATTAGGAACACATGCCAATCATATCATGGAAATTGCTTGAATACATTATATTATACATTGATCCATAAGGTCTAATGATGACCAGTTCATAGAACCAGAAAGATAATTAGGATAATAATAATGCCCTACTGAACAGTTATGAAAGATACCATAAGGTCTATGAACTAGATAAAAAGGCAGAAGTTGATTCATATGCTGCAAATATGCCTGCTGATGAACAATAGTTATCTTACTAAGTACACTGCTCCTATCAGAGTGCTGATCTTTTACAGCACAAACATGGCAGCAATAAAGTATGGCACAGTTTTCATGGAGCTAAATCACTTCTACATGTACTATTCTTCCTTAACACAGGAGTTTCCTAGGAAACTACAAGTAGTTTATACATGTAAAAATATGCTTATTACAGCTTCTAAACATTATGCAGTACTGTCAAGAAACCATTAAATTCAGGACTGGTAGACAGACCCCTCTCGATTGTAAAAGCTCTTAAACGAGATGGACCATACCATATTTCAGCACCAGAACATGAACAAAGCTTTTTACTGTCCAGATGTGCATAAAGACTGTAAAAAACATGCAATCTCTGGTGCCATCACTCTGTTAGGAAGTAATTTCAATTTTCATCTACTTCCCAGAAAAGGTTCCCAGTGCAAAAATTGAGGTTTCTCTTCAAGTCATTACAAAATTTGTTGAAATCATTCTTCATAACATCATTGCACATTCATTTATTCCACTCAAAGGATCAGTGTTAATATAATTTCAAATGGATTAAAAAAAACATTTGTAAGACCAGAAAGTTGCATTGTAAAATATTTTGGTCTTCTTCAAACCAAAATATTAGCTTCAGGTTTAAAAATCATACTGAAATAACATGGATACCACAGAGACATTTAAACTTTATTTCAGTAAATCTTCACCTAGCACTTTTGCTTCAGCTTAATCTAATTACAACTTAAGTAATTTTAAAATGCTCTAATACTGGGGCCAAATAACAGGTTTTCAATTACTACCTGGAACAGGGGAACAATGCAGTTTGATCAAGTATGAGACCATGAGATTCAGGAGCCCAGCTCTGACTCGCAGCTCTAAGTTACTGATCTGTGTAATCGTTCCCAAGATAAAACACTAAGGAAGCCAAGAGTTCTTGATCATTTGGACCTGCCTATTTCTGTCAACCTGCTCTTGTTAGCCTTGGTCTGCACAAGCACTACAGTGTGTTGAAAACCTTCAAAGCTCTCCACGTGGGCCAGACCTACCCGCTGGACTGACTTCCTTCCACAGCAGAGACTGAGAAGACGTGAGAGTGCTACACAGAGGTCGGGGTTTCCATGCAACGCCACTCCACTACCACCACCCCCCCCAAAAAAAGGCTCTCACCGAAGCTTTTTAAAATATTTAGTGTATGGCTGCTGGTGTAAAGCACGAAAAATAAAAGTGAAAACTTGTTCTTAACCCACCTGCCATTATGTCATCTAGGGTGTCAGTGAGCGTCTGAGCTGGCGTGGCCACCATTAAGCCATCTGGAGCCTGGGCCAAGAGGCCCGGTCCCAGCCCCGCCAGCTGCTGCTGCTGCTGGCTAACCAACACCCTCTGCAGGTCGGGGCCGCTGCCGGGGCAGTCGGCGCTACTGGTGAAATCGGTGGACTGCTGGGAGGCCAGAGGCTGGATGGGGACGAAGCCCGTCTGAACGGGAGCAGGGGGGCCTTGCTGCTGCGGTGGGGGAGGGGGAGGCGGCTGCTGAACGTCCCTGTACAAGATGGTGTCCACCTGCGGCAGCTTGGAGAAGTCCTCCTCCTCTTCCTCCTCCCGCCCCGGCTCGGCCTCCTCCGTGTCCGAACCCTGCGGGGGCAGCTGCCCAGAGTCCTCCTTCAGCCCCTTGGCCTCCATGTACTCTTTGGTGAACTGCTGCTGGGTCTTGAGCTGTAGCTGCCGCTCCACCTTCTGCAGCTCCTTTAGGATCTTTTTCTTCTTCTGCACTTGCTCTTCGCGGCTCTTCTTGAGCTCTTCGATCTTGTCTTTGGTGAGAGGCTCGCCCTGGATGAGCTCCAGCGACTGCAGCTGAGCCTTCTCGATGGCGCTGATCCGCTGGCCCAGCTCGTTCAGCTTGCCCTCGGTCTCCTCCACGATGCACTCCAGGGGCTGGTAGGGGTGGAAAGGTGGCAGGAGGTCTTGCTCCGCAGTGACCTGCAGGGGGCTTGACCTTTGCTTGGATGCACCTAAGCACATGGAAAAATAAACGATTTGGAGGAAAAAAAATAAAAATGGGGGAAAAAAAGCCATGCAAAAAAATTACTCGCCCACAAAAATTGAAGTGTCACATAAAAAAAACGCATGTCTGCTTAGCATAACGTGGTTAAAGCGGGCAATGGCTTCGTTATGAACAAAGCGCCTGACGAGCCAAACAGCCCAGCCTCTACCCAACAGAGGCTGCTGGAGAGAAAGACCTCACAAACCCAAAAGCCATCACAAGAACACCAGAGGCACAAAACCAGTGAGATCTGTTTGCTAGGCCCTGACCAAACTCAGCTCACCTAAACCACTGAACATTTCACAGCTACAATGACTGTACTTCTGAGAAAAACCATCATTCAGTACATGACGGTTACATACACGCCTAGTCCTGGTTCCAAAACCCCCCATGCCTGAAGAACCAGGTCCCTGCTGAGCTGCTCTTCAGGAGCTGTGACCACAGGAACAAGCCGTCAACCTCAGTGGAAGTCGGCAAGGGGAAAGCCCTAACAACTGATGATGTTTAGATTCTGAACATTTGTGCATGAACAGAAGTAACCCAATTACACCAAAGACCTCATAGCATGCCAGTTGCACTACAGTGAAAATCATCTAAACAGTGAGCATTCTGAAAATGTTTTAATGAACATGACCTTTAATTTCTTTACAAAACTACGAGCCAAGAGAAATTTAAAATTCTTGCAGCTGACTGTCAAGGGCTTAAATTATCTTGCACCCACATACAGCAGTGAACTGTTAACCATCTATACACCTACAGATTTGCCATCTTTGGATTCTGGATCTCTTACAGTTCCCAAAACTAGGTTCTGTACCCTGGGGAGATGTGCAGAATCCTCACCAATAAATACACATAAAATGATCTGTAAATGAATGTATTTTGAATGTTTACGGTTTGACATTCACAAATGAGGTTTCAAGTCTCACTGCCAGAGCAAGAGGTCCTAGGAACAGAGATGGCTATAATGACAAGAGGATTGTCATACTAATATTAACTCACTAAATTCTTAACTGAGCAAAGCTCCACAGCCAAAATGTTGTATTTTCTTTTCAGCATGGAATAAACCTTTACCTGCTCCTGTACTTGGGACTACAACAGTCCACTGCTGTCCCATGTGCATAAGGTGAAGAAACATAGCAAATATAGTGCAGGCAAAACACTCACTTACAGTAGGTTCCTGTTTACATAGTATTAGCATTATACACCCAGAGACTAAGGAGCGTTCTTCTGACCTGAAGGGTCAGTAAGATGTCACAGCTAACACTGACCATACAGAGACGCAAAATGAGCTTGAATGCGACCAGGCAGCCAAGCAACACCAGTTCATCTTACAGGCAACCAAAGTACTGCTGGCCCTTTACCATCTACAACTATTCAATGGAAAATGCTCTTCATTGGCGAAATGTGCTCCCTCCTCACTCCTAATGCATTTCTAAGCTCTCAAAGGCAGTTATTTTAACACTAATATGGGGTTTCTGGTTTCTTGCTTTAGAACAATACCTTTATTCAAATGCAAAAAAATTTACTCATGAGTCTAAAAATATGACATCACACAGAACCATGCAGTAGCTCCACTTGGGCTGCACTTTTGATTCATCGTGGAGCAAGAAGCACTATCATCCCCTTTACACAGACAGGTTAACTGTTAGCTCCTTTTAATGCGGCTTTAAAAGCATTTTGACAACTTGGGTTATTCAGCTCAGTTAACCTGCAGTATCTAGCAAACCACAGAAGGCCACATCTGCCCAGCGCGGCCATTTAAAAACTGGAACCGAGCATCACAGCAAAAGCTACAATAAACGTTTACATTTCTCAGACTCACAGCACTGCTGTAAAAAAGATTGAAAAAGCTCTGCACAAACCAGTCGGCACTTCAGGTATCACTTAGCATTACTGCATTTTCCCTGCACTTAGTGTAATAAGAGTAACCTTAGCTTTTCAGAACCAACTACCCCTCACAAAACACCACATTGAAATCACAATCAGCCAAGAGAGAAACTGGCACTGAGCTCAGAAATGCTGTGCTTCACACAGCATCAATGCAGAGGAATGTCTGGTGATTAAATTGTGTTAATAAAAGATCCTTTTTGCATTATATTTGTCTAACTGATCTATAAGAAATCAGGATCAGTAGGTATGAAGAGTACACAGCTACGTCTTAATTATGCATCATTCCATGGGTAATCACAATACAGTATGGTGGTGTTAGGAATTTTGCTACACAGATGCATAAGTTATGATATAAGTCTTGGATTCATTTTTTCCACCATTTGAATCCCCCACTATTAAAGGAAATTCCCATATTTACAAATCAAGATGGTAGTTTTTCTATGATAGGAGTTTGTTAAAATTAGTGAACTTGGTGTCTGAAGAGGAAGGAAGTCATTTTTGTAGAGTAAAGCAGAAACCAAAATTTGAAGTTTAAAAGCCTGGCTACACTGGGCAGATGTACTTTTGCACAAAACAGTAACACTAGAGAATGTTTTGGAAAGGCTTTCGAATACAGCTGTTTAAAGCAACCTCAGAAGACACCAAGATCTCAGTACAGTGATGAAAAAGGAGAGTAACAATATCTGACTGGGCTAACCCTCAAATGTTATCATGGCATAAATTTAGAATCTAAATATTGAAGCAGACCTAAGACTCACATAATACATCAAGAGTGAATTAAAAATTTTACTTAAAATCACTGTAGTCTAACTTTTTAGCTTGTTTATCACAGCAGTGTAGATCTCAATAATGAGTATCACACTAGCCAAATTAGTGTTGCAAATTAATGTGAACCTCAAGGCTAATACAAACCATCACATTCATAAATGGTCCTAGAAATTCATGAACTCCAGCAACACATCGCCTCAGTGTGTAACAGTATTTCAGCTCAAGAACCTCAAAGAAAGCAAAGCAGGACCCAGGACAAAATCCCAGGAAACCCCAACATAGTAAACAATTTGATCAGTAACTAATCTGCAGAAACCCCATTTTTGCTATATGGACCAACTAAAAAAAAAACTAAGAAAAGATTTTTTTAACCCATGAACCCCCTACTTCTGCCAGGGGAACATCACCCCACAACCTAAGCAGAGAGATGGCAGTGAGCCTTACACTAAGGCAGGGCAGGGAGCACCTATCAGCCTTTCCAAACGGATATACGCGATTGAGCTACAATCCTGGATCATTTTCACATGCTTGCAGGCTGAACACGTTTCAGACAATTTAAAAGTTCTTTGAATATTTACTAATTGGCTGCTATACTTAACATGCACTTTCCACTTAAAAAAAAACCCTCAATATATTTTCATAATCATTAGTGACTATACTTTCACAGCACTACAGAAACGTGAGCACCGATTTTACTAATTCCTCTAAGGGAGATACTTGATGTCTAGCCTAGGCCAGGTTATTATTAGTCTGGATTGCCATACATAAGCACCATGTAAGATATTCATCTGTTCTTGCTTAAAGATTTCTTGTACTGATTTCATCCAACTTAAAACCGTTCCACTCTGCATTGAAGACTTTTTTTTAAATACTGAAGGGAACCAAACAGGGCAAGAATGATTTTATAACCAATTAAACTGATCCAGTCTACTAAGCAGAGCGATAATACAAACTATTCTCAGTTGGTAAGCAGCCAAAGGCTAAACAAATGCTCAACCAAGAAATTAACATCATTTTCATACAACTGTCAACCTTTTAAGGTCCAAGATGTACACGTACAAAGGTACAAATTAGTGGGACCCTGCACCTCAGTATATGCTGGGGAAGGAGGAGTCTCAGTTTTTTTTAAATAAACTGTATAACATAGCAGGGAGAAGAGTGAGTCCACAAAGAAGGCAGCAAGTAGCACAAAGGTAATGGAAGGTTTTGGAATTTGTCACAAATTACTTCAACAAAACTTTCAGGAAGTACTGCATGGAATCTCAGGTAAAAGAAAATGCCTTTCCTTTCTTTGAAGATGCCAGAATGTCATCATAATTCATAACCGTTTTAATTATTTTTTTTAAGTACAAAATGTAGTGCAAGAGAAAAAGCCTCAAGTACTATATTTAATACTTCCTTGGAAAAGGACAATTTTCAAGATTCTTGTTTAAAGGAATAGCGTCTATTGATGTATAAACACCTGGCCCCAAGGGTACATTGAGCCAAAGAGTTGGGCCTTTAAAGCGTATAAACTCATGAATGTGGAATTGATTTAAAGGTATTTAATTAAAAGGTACCCCACAAAATGTGCTCTTGCCACACTTCCTCTGAGCTCTGGATTCTGCTTGTAATTTTACTGGGCATCACATTGTCAGTTTAGACGCAGCCAACGTTTCACGTGTTTAGCCAACAGGCTCGCGACAAATTAATCTGTAGAAAACGGTTTTAAACGGTTTCAGTTAACCATAGGTTATTTACATTTTCAAACCTCACTAAGGTTTTTATATTTCCAGCTATTTTTAAAATGTATTAAAACAATCTAGATTAGTTCAGTTATATCCCCCCCCAATTTACAATGCAAATCGAGAGACCAATTTGCACTGCAGACGTGAACTGGTGATTAAAAACCTGTGCTAATCCAGTGCTCCCTATATTGCTCCACTGACAGAGCATTTGTGAGAAAAAAACAATACACAAGACTGCAGCTTTCAGGATCCATGAACAGCTTTATTAGATACACCTGACCTGCTGATGTCATGTCATGGCCACTTACCATGCAGTTTTCAGTGCTAAAAGTTAAAGCCTGTGCAACACGTCAGCCCTGCCACCTCCGCACTGCAGGGCGTTTGGAATTTCTCCTCTTCATGAGCGTAGCAAACATCCACACGATCCTGCAGCCTCGGCTGTTCCAGGTTCTACCAACACGGCAGTCTCCACTGCCTTCAATGGCACTGGCCTTAGGTGTCCTCAAGGCAGAAGACTGCCAAGTTCATATCTAAAGCTGGTACAGCCGAGGCCGTTATAAAAGTAAGTCTGCCGTGCTAACGAGGACGGGAACTGAAAGACTTGGCCCCAGACAAGGATAAAAGGCTTGAATGACGACCAAGCCAGTCAGAAAAAAATATTTTGTCACGTTCAAGCTCACGTTGGAAACTGAAGTAGGCATAAAAAGCATTTTATTTACAATGATGGTTCTCAAAAATGGGTCACTAAAAACAAAATAAAATATGAATACCCCGATTGCATCCACGTGATTAGTAACAAGCACATTTATCTAGAAAGCGATTTTACAGTTTGACATTGTGCTACATTACAGCAGCAGAAGCTGCCAATTTTGAGAGGGGAAAAAAAACCTAGGACATCCAAACACTCATCAAAACAAAGGACTGCAACACCAGAGAAATGTCACCACCACCACCACCACCAACAGGTAAACAAATGTCTTCAAAGAATGAAATGCTCAGGACTAAAAGATAGGGTGGGGCAGAGGAGAACTAAAAACCCGGTTTCCTTGTAAACCTTCTGTAGAAGATAGTGTGGTGATCAGCTTGGCTAACTCACAGCTCCAAAGACCTGGGTCAGAGTTTGGGAATGATGTTCTCTCCATGTGTTGTCTAGGTTTGAGCCATGTGTTCTGGTCTCCTCCCACACTACAAGTGTGCAGTGAAGGAATAACAGGATAATATAAATTGTCTGTTTCTGGGGAGGTAGTGGGGTTACAATGCACTATCCCCAGTATGACTCGTTCTGCCTACAGGAGTTTTTTCAGAAACTATTACAGTTTCAAAATTTTATTCAAGTTCAAAACATGAGGAGACACACTGCTCATAATTATGGCCACAGCACATGTAGTCACACTTCTAGTAATCCGTTACAAAAATGAAAGTAGCTACAGTCTCAAAAACAAGTCACATTTCAAGCATTCATCCATTTTTTTTTTTTAATACCAGCTCCCATATTTTAACTACTCTAATTGTTGTGCTCATAAAGTTAACATTTCACTTGAAACGTCAAATTGCTCTGAATTAAAGAACTTTACCAATTTAAAAAAGTATAGTCTAAGCTGGATAAAGCTGTCATTACGAGTCGAACATCTGGCACTTTTTAAAACAAATGTTTTAATGATTCAATGAAGCAAATATTTTTCCAGGAACTTGCGTGATTGTTTATTTAGTTTTTCTACAGATTTCTCAAAATCAACGTAAGAAGTAAAACCTGAAGTTTTGAAATAGGTAGTATCCGTGCCTGGTATCTTGGGACATTCAGAGATAAAATCAAGCACTACATCATCCATCTGCTATGGCTAAATATTTGCAGGGTTATAATCATAAATACGCAGGGCATAGAGGGGATTCTGTCATAATAAAACCCTCTTTCTCTTAAAAGTCACCAAGCTATGTTAAACAGCATTTATACACATTAAGTCCACGTTAGTGCCTGGTACTTCATTTAAAACATTTGAGTATGGTTCTGGAGATCAGCTATTCAGTGTAGACATTCCTGTGAGACTGCCCTGTTTCTAAAAGAATGATTAATAGTCAAGGTCAAACACTGAAATGCATCCCACAGTTCATAAGATCTTTTTTGTTACAGCTGTGGTCTAAATTTTATAACGGGTTTAGTGCAAGGTTTTTCACATTGCTCTCATAGCAGGGGTTAATATTAAGAGTATACTTCAGGACTGAAGCCTGACTACTTCTACCTTGTTTCGGACATGTACTCTGACACTTGTGCAATCTGAGTTACTACGCCAGAACGTCATGCACGACAGGTCACGGGTCACGCCAGAAGCAGTCCCCAGCTGAGGGGAGACACCAGACACTCAGCCCTGTTTTCCTGGATCTTACTAATTCTGAACTTGAACTGTAACCTGCAAAGACAAAAACATCCAGATTACTGGATGATTGACTTCTTAGATTCCTCCTCACTGACTAGAGGAAACCTACAAGGTAATGGCAATGAATGGACTCATCAGACATTTAGGGGAAGGGGCTGTCGCTTAGTGTTGAAGACCAATTTCGCTTTTTAAATCCACCGAACAATTTCACCCATTTCTATTTAGGATATGTTTTGTGTGGGCACTGTGTGTTCTTTTATCATTGGTTTACCACGTGGGATTATATTATAAAAACATTCTTACCTTATATTAATATTGCATATTTTTTTGCTTGTACCCAGGCCGGTGCAAAGACAGAGCATGAGTATTAAAGGAACATGATCAGGCGGGGTGGTAACAGACAACATGGCTATATCTCCCTTCCTCAGCTTCTCTCGAGGGGATATCTCACTGTAATAAGCCCCCCTAGAGGCCTCTGGAACTGAGAAGCGGCACTTACTGCACCATTCGGGCTCCCCAGACCCTACAAGCTGGAGCCCACCCCTACTCAAGTGCAGCAGGTCATTTCAATACAAAGCAACGCTGAAGTTGCCCACAGCTTAGGAAGCCGTCCGAACCAGAAACCGGGTTTTTGGTGCTGTCTGTGCGGGGAACAGAGCGGCAGGGAGGGGGGCCGGGGCCAGAAGGCCGCAGCACTGACCTTTGTTTGCGACGGGCGGCGGGGCAGCGATGTTGGAAGGAACTCGGTCCGGCTCCTGGGGGGGAACCACCATCGCCAGGGCCTGGAATGGAACACGAGGAACCTGGAGGAGGGGAGAGGGGCAGTTCTTCACACCGACCCCCACTGCACAGGCCCAGCTACAGCCCCCTGTGCACCACACACCTCCCCCCAGCAGCACCGTGCACACAGATACCAGAGCTCGGCCCACAGGAGGAGCCGAGCCTCTGAGCTGCAGTGAGCAGCTCTTAGAAGACAGTGCAAAAGAACTTCACGAGAAAATGGAAGTATTTTAAAAGAAAGCATTACCTGCTGATTTTTTTCTAAAGGTTTAATGCTTGATAACTGAGAAAACGGGGGAAAAAATAAAAAGTTAAAGAACTAGAAAAGGCTCAGGAAGACCCTTTACTCTACTAATGTATCCCACAGGGTTTGAGCACAAATTTATAAAGGATCTGGTCAGGTCGCTACGCATAAGCCCTAAACAAAGGATTACTGCAACACAGCAAAGTTGTACTTCTCTGAATCTTCAGCAGATCTTTCTACTAAACCACAAGGTAAACGCAGCTGATGAACCTGCAAGTTTGTGAAAGATGTGTGAGGACTGTAAAACTGAAGATCTACGATATGCTCCTTACCTGAGACTGGTCATGAGAGGGAGGAGTGAGCTGGGACAGGTCAGGTGCAGGAACTGAGAGGATATTGTTTGGGTAGTCTAGCAGGTAGGACACAACGTTCGTGTGGCCCCCTTTAGCAGCTTCAATGAGCATGGTTGATCCATCCTGCGTTATGAGAGAGTGAAAAGTGAAATTACCAAATGGTCCAACAACTAGCACAGTAAAGGCTCTCTTTATGCTCCACCTCCGACAGTTCACACTGATAGATTGAAGATGAAAGTAACACAGGGGTATGACCCCTACTGCTGGAAAATACAAAAAAAATAACGTGCAATTTAAGGACAGAAAGCATCAGGCATTCTTCCTTTGCTTTGTCAGCATCCCAGTGCGAATTACTTCATGAGTCATAAGAACGAACTAAAATGTCAACTCGTTTCTGGCACCATTATCACAGCAGCAACCTGTAAAGAGTTCTGGTTACTGTTTTGGACGGACCGTGGATTTTGAAATGGATGGGCTTTATTCCTGTGGGAGAGCACTCTCTCGCACACCGAGGGGTAGCGGTGCTTTCGCCTGCTCGCCCACAGCAGCGGAGGGCCAGGGCGCGAGCGGCACTCACCTTCAGCCTGTGTGTCGGGTCGGCCCCGTGAGCCAGGAGCAGCTCCACCACGGCCAGGTGTCCTCCCGCGCAGGCCAGGGACACCACAGTGTGGTCATTGTTAGCTGTGGCTCTGTTCACATTAGCACCTGCAGCAACACGCACAACACGCTGTTAATATCCCCAAGAAGGAGCTGCCCGCCAGCCAGCCTTTTATACCAGCGATTTTACATTTCCAACTAAGGTTGCTGAAGGGCTCACTTGAGCAATGTCCTGAATGCTAATGCACCAACAGTTACATTTCATACAAGTAGAAAACGACAGGGCAGCAAAACAAAGCTACAGCTATGAATCCCCGAAACAGGAAAGATGGATTTGTACCTGAAAGGAAATGAACACAATGACAGAATGTCAGGCAAATTAAAAGTAGAGAACTCCTAAGGAATAGATGTGCAACCCTCCTTAATGGAACACGGATAAGTGAATTCTTGCTCTTTTGGTAAACAGAAGCTAACTGATTCGACGATTTCATCCAGGTGTAACTTGAAGAAAGCCACACCCCCACGACCCCCTGGGCAACAAGATGACTTAAGTCATTTGAACAGACACTTGTGGCAGCACGAACATCCACTAAGGTGCCAGTCCACTGCGAGGTTACAGCGTGAAACAGGCTATACCAGGCACCTCATTTTGAGCTCTGTTAGTGGGGAGCTTGTAGTGGCGAACGGAGTGTGAAAGAGAAGAGTGAAGATCACTTTAAGATGCAGCTCTTACCCACCTTTACTGATTAAGAACTGTACAGTACACAAGTGGCCTGCTCTTGCAGCCTTCATCAGGGGTGTTCTCCCTCCCTCCGATTCGTGTTCCTACAGAAAACAAGAAAAAACTGTATTCCCACCTGCCACTGCAAGTCCAGCTCTAGTGTAACTGTGTTCCAGAATAAATAGGTTTTTATTCTAAAAGCGATGCAATGCCACCCCCCATTATTGCTCTCGATACTTCTCAGAATTGCATCACAGCAGCACATTCTGTTAGGTGAGAGATTACAGGCAGTGCTCCTTAGAAAGATCAAACCATGACCCTCAGGCAAACTTTCACTTACTGCTGCTGGAGGGAGGGGCGACATATTACAATTAGTCCCTTTCCAACTAAATGATTTCTCAGACAAAGATCAGAAAAAAAAAGGTCTTTTATCGTGTGAGAAAAATAGTATCCATGTTGCACCGGTAAAAGGAGCAGACAGAAGTCGTACCAGGTCAGCCCCAGCCTGGAGAAGCACGTCTGCGACATCCGTGTGACCATTCTCGCAGGCGTACGTCAGCGCAGTGTCCCCGGTTGCTGTGGTGGCATGAACATTTGCACCTGGAACACAAGATTGTACGTAGAGCAGGTCAAGCTGGGGACACAAACAGTGCTGTGACTTTTACACTCGGCTCCAAGTGCTCAACAAACCAAGACAAGCGTTATCCAACAACTCTGCCACGGCCGAGCACCCCGATCACTTCAGGGTTAGCAAGTTACTACCTTCGGTGTAAGCTATCGAAGTATCCATCAGCTGGTATTAGCATGCAAACTTTATATGGGGCTTTTACTGCACATATGGTTCCCTGTACTGGAGTTATCAGACTGTCACAGATAGTAACTGGAATATAATGGAAGATTGTTTCATCACTTTGCAAATGGTCAAGCAATTGGGAAGGAGGAATGAATGATTTTTGACCCCAAAAAATAAGGTTTTTTCCCTCCTACAACGTGGGAACAGCCGCTGCAGAGCCTCCCCGGTAGGGACGAGCCCCCGGCGTGTCGCGCGAAGGGAAGTGCCCGACATACCTGCTGCCAGGAGGTACTTGACCAGCTCCAGGTGGCCCTCCTGGGCCGCCTCCATGAGGGGCGTGGAGCAGCCCAGCTCAATATCCGCTCCGGCCTTGATCAGGAAGTCGGCCACCTCCAGGAAGCCTCCGCAGCACGCCAGTGTGAGAGCCGTCTCCTGAGTCTCCTCTGTCTGCGCGTTGATATTGGCTCCTGAACAACAAGGAGAGGCTGAACTCTCTCAGTTGCTCTCCTTCCTATATTACAACTATTGCACAGCTTAAGAACATCAGAAAGGCTACAGATGAGAGGCCATTTGACCTCCTGAAGTTCCAGCGTGACTTGCCAGTTCTTACATGATGCAGTAATTCAATGCAAGTGATGTCAGTTCAATACATGTGGCTTCAATCGCAGTTGGGAGTTGTGTTTACAAGTGCTTTATCACGGCCACTCACTATATAAAAAATCCAAAAGCTGCAGTTTTACAGAGCTCGATCAGCTAGATCTACACTCGTTTACCTAATAAAGGACTGTTCAGGATTAGTGATAAGGGCTGGAGAAACTGCAGGAATGATTGCGTAAAATGAAACTTTTGGACTGCTAATGAATTTTATGCAAGAGGTTCGAGTGGCGAGCTGTGTAGGCTGCAGAGGAACAAGGACAGGTTATTTCCACACTAAAAAAGTCAAAACTACTTCCTATGTTTCATGCAAAATTACCATTTACATAAATTCCCTAATTTTATGCAAAGTCGGTACAGTGAAGTCTGCTTAACTGCGCACTTCTTTACACTTCGGTGCTATAATCTAAACTCAATCCGAACTTAAAATTAAAAACCTAAATCTTTAAAAACGCTCCAATTTCATGCAACTGAGAAACCCGGAGAACATCGCCCTGCGGCTTTCCAGCTTGCTGGTGGTACGCGCTCCCTCCTGGCGACGTACCCTGTGCCAACAGCAGGGCCACCATCTCCTCATGGCCCTCCCGCGCCGCCTCCATCAGCGGCGTGTACCCCTCATCGTTGACCTCCTCCAGGTTGGCCCCTCGCTCGATGAGCAGCGCCGCCAGCTCCACGTGGCCCCCGCAGGCCGCCAACGTCAGGGGAGACTCGAAGGAGTCGGCAGGCATGTTCACCTGGGCCCCGCTGTCCAACAGCAGCCGCGCCACCTCCACATGGCCGTCCTGTCGCGAGAAGGAAGCCATCGCTCAAGGCCCGCTGCCCACGCCGACGGAGCGCGCTTCTCCTTCAAACTCACACTCAACGCCAAAAAACATGGGGGGGGGGCCTCCCATGTGGCTCTAGCGGTAAAGGCTCCCACCCAAGTGCATGCTGAGCTTTACGATCACGGGTTCAAGTCTGCAGTGACTGGGGTTCCCCAAGTGGCTCCCCAAGACAATTGACCGAGTGCCCCCCGAGGGCAGGTGGGGACTCGTCAGCCAGGATTCTCTCCGCCCACTCCCGCAGCACAGAGGCGCCGTCAGTGAGGGATGCACCACTCCTCCAATCAGAGCCCGAGATTCCAGGAGGGGGTGGTACTGTCAATGAGGGACGCACTGCTCCTCCAACCAGAGCTGAACGTCTGGCGGGTGGCGGGGCTGTCAGTGAGGGATATGCCTCTGCACCAATCAGAGCTGAGCCCACCAGTAGGGGGCGGTGCCGTTATTGAGAAATGTGCCTCTCCTCCAATCAAGAGCTGAGCCTCTGCCGCAGGACTCTGCAGCCTGTGATGCGCTAAGAGACGAGTGGCTAGAAGCGGCACAGGAAACAAATTGGACTATTTCCAATTGGGTGAGCTGAAATAACTGGTGATTCTAAACAAAAAAAAACCTTGAAGTTACTGCTAAAGCATAGCAGTAGAAATCTCTAGAGCATTCAAATCTCACCCAACAAACAGCAAGAAGAAAATCTTAAAATGGGCAGGTGAACCAATGTCAAAAGTTCACAGTGACATTGGATATTATTCTCTGAATATACTGATAAACGCAGTGGACTTTGTGAGTTTCAGACAGCAAAACGGCAACAACTCCATCAATCCATTAAAGCAATTAAAAAGAGAAGTCCTAAATGGAAGCTGTCGGCACCCTGGCTGCAGCAGTCTTACCATGCAGGCTTCCATTAGTGCCGTGTGCATCTCATCTGTCTTGTGCTCCTGGTCAGCTCCTGCTTCCAGCAAAAACCTCACCATGTCTAAATGTCCTACAGAAAGCACAACAAGAGCACCTCTGATAACTCAGCTAAATAGCCTTTAACAAGAACACTTACACACTTTGACCGCCTATTGACACAAGCACATTATGTGAAGCAGAACACTGGCATGAAGAGGAACAGGAAAGGCATGTATTCTTTTCCAGAAGCAGGCAACAGTCAACGTATTTTTACTATCCGGAGGCACGTGGCCTCTTTCAGCTTTGTTCAACATCAAGAATTCTACGTTTTTCATTCTGGAGATGTGGCAGCATCTGTAGCGATATTAGCAAGGACCTTGTTCACCTGCCGCCAACCAGCCCAGACTGTACGCACCTTTGTAGCACGCCAGCGTCAACGCGCTCTCTTTGAACTCGTTGGAGTGCGTGTTGATGCCAGCCCCATACTCCAGGAGCACCCGGGCCACCTCCACATGGCCTGCGCTGGCCGCCTCCATGAGAGGCGTGTGGCCGTTCTCGTTGTGGTCTTCGATATTCGCGCCCTCCTTCAGCAGCACCTTCACGACATCCACGAAGCCCCCCGCGCAGGCGTACGTCAAGGCCGTGTTGCCTGAACACCCCAGAAACAAGGCGACATCGTAAGTGCTGATCTTTGCGCGAGCAGAAAAAAAAACAAATGTCAAGACGTTGGATAGCAGAGCATTTCTAGATTCTTAATTTAATGTTAAAACATGCTGTAATAAACCAACAAAACTTGCTTTTATTGTCAAGTGTAGCTTTTATTTCTGTTGTCTGTAAGTGTGTAGATGTTACTTTATGCATAACTCGAATTTAATAAAACTATAGATTAAAATTTCCCATTTCTAAATGAGGGAGAGCAATAAAAACTCATACAGAATGTTAGGATATACAGTTAAGTGTAGAATATAAATCAGGGGTCATTAAAACATCATTAAGAACAGAGATGACAATTGTACACAAGAAACACACTGCTGCTCTGTCATTAGTCCAGAGAAGAGCCGAGTAGATTTTCAGGCTTAAAGGAATGCCCTATACCGACTTTGTCAGACTTCTGTACAGAGCTGCTGCTTCTCTAGTACTCCGCAAAATGATAATTTGCTCAGAACATCAGGACAAACCATAATGGACAAAAAAAACCTGGGATTCTGAGCAGAACCAGAGCGAAAACACGGGCAGATCACATATTTTACACGTAAAGTGCAGGTGCAACTAAAGTCAACTTGTAAAAGGGTGTAAGGTGAAAAGGCCGATTTCAGTGAAGACCATGCGGGTTACCTGTTGAAGACTGGGCATTGACGTCAGCCCCGTGCACCAGCAGCAGCTTGACAATGTCCACATAGCCTCCACTCGCTGCTGCCATCAGAGGGGTGATGTCACCCTTGATCCCTCGATCCTCAACATTCGCATGCATGGCAAGCAACACCTGTTAGAAATGAACAGGATCAGTGAGAAGAGGTCCCCATCAGACTGGGCTGAATATGAAATGAAAAAGATTTAGAACGAGAGCCTAGAATGCCACAGAGCAGGATACCATAGCTTGACGGCACACATCTGGGAGGGAGCATTTGTATTTTCAGTGGTGCAAAGACCACAATCGACTACTAAGCACTGGAGAAGTGAGATGAACAGATGATTCATCCTTCACCTTGTTCTCTAGAAACAGACAAGTGCCCGTGTGGCATCATCCCAAAGAACTGAGCGCCCTCCTTCAACAGTTTCTGGTGCTTTGGTGGTTCCATAATGCTGTTGGGCACGTTTTCCTGGTGTGGCTTGGGTGCTCCGATTCCCTTAGAAGGCAAGGTCAATGCTAATCTATGCAATAGTACTGAGTGATCATCTTCATTCCATGTTGCAGGATAACTGATGTTATCCACGTGTGTGACCTGAACTCAATCAAGCCTATATGCGATATTCTGCAGTGATGCCAGAACCACTGTTTTCCACCTCCAACAACCACATCCTTCCTACACAGTTCCAAATGCTGGTACCCCTACAATAAACATCGGATTGGCGATTCCATTTGGTCAGTCTACAACTCAATCGCCCAGCACATGACCTAAAACTCCACCTGCCCTGCCAGGATAATGTTCTTCTCCAGTCGGGTTATACAGGACTGACAATGTAAGCCACAGCCTCAAGCAAAGACTTTTCGACTGGTTACAGCAGAGAGCTAAATTCGCATATGGTATGATTTAAAGCAGACAGAAGTCAGACGAATACTTACTTGGGCAAGTTCATAGTAGCCAGCCGAGCAGGCCAAGCACAGGAGACTCTCGCCTTCTTCTGTGTGCTCGTTCACGCTTCTTCCTTCATCCAGGAGCTTACGGACAGCATTGACGTCCCCGTCTGAACAGGCCTCCGCCAAGCTACGGCTGAAAATAACCAAACTGCTAAAATTACCGGGATTGTGGTGTAACTCGGAAAAACGCAACAGATCCATGAATTATATTTTCTTCTGCTCAGTACATAAAACTGAATATGCATTGGTGGATTTGTCCTAGGAGCCAACCAAGACTTCAGCTGAGGCTCATCAGTCTCAACACAGCGGACTGATGGTCCGATGACTGGGACCGACACCAGATCTGGACACAGTGTAAGCCGTACTCAAGTGAAGACTCTTCCACTGGCTACAAAGAGCTGTATTTCCAGTGAATACACAGTTGTACCCACTGTATTTAGGGTTAAATTCACCCTTAGCCCTCAATTCAGCACAGTTCTGTGCTTTCACTGAAACAAGCTCGGGGCTGTTGCAATGTGGCCTCTGACAGTATCCTTGGATCACAGGAGCATGCCAAATCAAAGTTGATTCAGGAACCAGAGCTGAAAACTAAACAAATTAATGTGCAGATATGATAAAGGCATATGGGATTAGTGCGAGAAAAAATTGTTCACCCACAACTATCACATCAACACTGCATTAAACATCTATTTCAGTGATACAATTTCAAACTAGGTCTATGTGTGCGAGCTTGATAAAGTATAGGCAAGGTCCCCATCATAAAATCAGAACTTCCTACTTTTGGTTAGTTTAATAAGTGTGAGTTTATACAGTAGCTATCCCAGTACTCACCCCCCCCGGACTTGTTTACACTTCAATGCGTTTCCATATGGAATCATAACGTATTTAACTGGGAGGTTTTGCCATTGATTGATAGAAAACACTCTATAACGTATCAAAGTGAAACCAAACTTCTATAGAGCAGCCTAAACTACAAATATAAAACAATGTAACGGACTGAATAAGTAGTAATAAGATTGAATATTAAGCAGAGGTATTGTGTAAAGGTGACGTATTCTCATTTGCAAAGTTGCTCAACCTCCTTGGGAAAAGTTGGTGATTCTTGATTGGGTTGCTACTCAGGAACATTTACTTTTTTTCTTGCCAAACCACTCCAGCGTGGCTTCGGCTGTATGTTTTGGACCGTTGTCCTACTGGAAAATGAATCCTTTCCCAAGTCCCATGTCTCTTGCAGGCTCAAATCCTTCAGGATTTCTCAGCACTTTGCCACATCCGTTTTTCCTTCCATCTTCACAAGTCTACAGGCCCAGATGCACCGAAGCTTTCCTACAGCACAACAGTGCCACCGCCATGCTTACAGAAGGAGTGGTGATCTCCAGATTATACGGACTGTTACACTTACATCAAACATAACTCTTTGTTGAGGTCAAAAAGGTCAACACTGGACTCCTCAGACCATAGAATCATCAACATGGTCTCGAAGTCTCCACATGCCTTTTGGTCAAGACGTGAGTTTTTTTAGATTCTCCCATGGAGCATCCAGGTCCTTGTCATATGCACAGTTTATCAATCTCAGCCATGGAAGACCAAATCCTTTTACATTTGATAATGATTGCTTCTCGATATTGATCTTCTCGAGATTCTGTGTGCATACAATACAAAACCTGTCACAGGTCCTTACTGTGAAGGTTAGGGAAAGGGCACAGGCAACCCACTTGCATAATCCAGCTGACTTCACTTCCAACATCCAGAAGTCAAATTTGAATTATTTTCCCCCCCAACTTAAAACACGTCAGCAGAAACATTAACAGAACCCGTTTAATTTCACAGGTTCCACAGTAACAACTGAATTATTAAAAATCAGCCAAGCTTTCTTTTTGCATTCACAGCACAAGTGGAATGCAGAAGCCATATTCAAAGAAAAGGAACCCTCAAGTCACAAACAGTTATGCTTGCGCCTTGTGTGTGTGCAAAAGGGTGTGTCCAGCACTCATCTTTAAAACTGTACTTAATGAGCAAAGCTTCAATTTGTTCCATTTTCAAAAGTTTTGGAAAAATGCACTGTAAATGTCCAACTCTGCTGCAAAAAACGTGTAAATAAAAGAATGGTCACTTCTAATTTTCAGTTTGAGTTCAAAACTACTACCCAATTTAATTTTAAGAGCACAAATGAAACTTTCAGGATAACGGTTTATTTTTCTTTACATGAAGATCCCATCCTCAACCTCCCAGTATTCTGGAGACTAAATTGGTGTTGATGGAGGGGATCCCCATTACCTGTAAAGCACTTTGAGTGGAGTGTCCAGAAAAGCGCTATAAGTGTAAGCAATTATTATTATTAAAGTGAGAATATGCTTTTAACTTAAAACATTAAAATCTAGACACTTTTATACAGTCTGTCCACAGCACTATTCACAGGGTAAAAGTCATTGTGAAGCTTTGGTAAATATCGCTGCTAGATTATAATTCTAAAGACCATGAGACACCACGGCTAACATTTAATGTAGACAAACAGTACCACTGCTCAGTGCCATTATCAGCAAACCAAGCAATACAGTAACAGATCTACACTGTAAAACTTCAAATGCAATTCCAGCCTAAAGTGATGGCAATAACTAGTTCTTCTCATGTCTCTCCTAAGAGGGCAATGTCCAAGAGGTGGCTCTGTTGCTAAGGAGCTGTGCCTGTGGCTGGAAGGTTGCCAGTTCGTATCCCACGGCCGGGAGAGGAATCCTACTCTGTTAAACCCCTGAGCAAGGCCCTTAACCCCGACTGCTCCAGGGGCGCTGTACAATGGCTGACCCTGCACTCTGACCCCAAGCTTCTCTCCCTCTCTGTGTCTCATGGAGAGCAAGTTGGGGTCTGCGAAAAAAGAAATTCCTAAGACAAGAAATTGCATATGGCCAATAAAGTGAACATCTACTTCTATAATAGTTTAAACATTGGGGTCTTCATGTGGTAACTGAGATCAAGAGTGTTTAATCAGGACTTTTTGCTTCAGCGAATTCAAACCCAGCAAAGATGGAGATTTCTTAAAGCAACAGAGTGGTGTAACACAAGGGGGTCACATTTGGCACTCACAGTTTATCACACGTCCGCCAAGACACCGTGTATCAAGGTGCAAGATGGAGAAGGCAGCCTGTGATTAAAAAGGTCCTACAGCTTTTTTAAGTTTAGAAAAACGGTTAAAAAAAAAGATGAAAGAAATACATACTTGTCCGCTTGGCCGGCGTTGAGCGTGTTCTCGGCTCGCATGCGGGTGAGGGCGGCCGCAGCCTCGTCCAGCGCACAGCTCACAGAGGAGGTCAGTCGGCGCAGCACCTCGGGATCTGCGAAGGCTTTACCATCGGCAGTCGACAATTTACCAATCCCTTTTGTTACGTTCAGCAATCAGGTTAGTACGAGCATCACACATGGAAAGGCAAAAACACAAAAAGACCCAACTGGGTTAGCGCACAAACCATGCACAGTTAGTCTTCACATCATCACCCTGCCCCCTCCCTGGACATAAGAGCAACATTCCTGAAACAATGGGAGTGGTACAGATTGCAGACCCTCCCAATGGCAGGCTTATTCCATTCCGAAAAGAGAAGAAAGGAAACGTTTCGGCTGTGGAGCCTTCTTTGAGTGTCAAATGAAACATTGTTTGCTTTCTGCTCTTTTCAGCCTGGAATAAACCTTTACTTGTTCCTGTGCAGTCTACGCCTGCTGACGCAGCTACCCACCTGAACCCACTTCCAAGGATTACAGACTGGTGAAAAAATAGACCATATTGTGTAAAAAAAAATTTGACATGACGAAAGGCAGATCTCCAGAAACAGATCCAACCCTGAATTTTCATGGTGTTCCGTGTGCGCTTGGGACAGCGTTTATAGTCACCCACAAACTACTTAGTGTACCCTAAGAAGCACACAAGAACGGAGAAGCAGTATATCGTACACAGCTTCGACAGATGTCAAAACAATTACCATACTAAACATCTTTAAGCATTCTATGGGTTTGATCACCATGAATCTTTAGATTATAACTATTACTTATCTATTAGATCATTCTGTTTCACTGAGGAGACTTAAAAGAAACATTCACTTGCAATTACAATAACTTTTTCACATGACATCCTTCTTGGCAAAAGATGACAGAATTTTAACATCTAAAGGCGTGAAGTCCCGGTTCTCATGTTGTGTAAACCATTTCTCTGAATCGAGAGTTGAGGTTGGAAATCCACAGCAAGAAGGATTAGAATTTTTAAATTAGGTTTAGAAGAAAATGAGACCAAGAGAGGGAAAAAAAAAAAAAAAGACAGGTAGATTGTTCCTCTGCGACTCATCTCAATGAGTCACTATAAGTATCCTGCTGCAAGATCACAATCAATTCCCAGGTTCACTACTAAAGCACCGCAGCCTCCAGTCACTAAGTGACAGCACAACTGGCGAAGCGCCATCAGGATTCTGCTGAGGCAGAGCCCACTGGGGAGTCTCAGATCTGCCACACTGCTTTAGTCCAACAGTGGCTGGAAACTGAAGAGTATCCGCACGGCCCGTCTTCTCCCGCACCAGAGAACGAAGAGCAGCGCTCGGCCCGACTGTCGAACCACATGTGCGCTGATCCACCCCCAACAGCAGCGGCTCAGCCCGAGGGGAAAGGAAAGCCACTGCGGGGGTCCGATCCACTGGGAATGTTCCAGAAGCGCCAGTGATCAAACACAGAGAGATCCCGATAAAACTGCTATTCCGGACCCCCGAGTGCTGGTAAAGGGACAGCAAGTCTTCAGTCTAAATTTTCACCTATTCTCTAGTAACGCGTCTTCTGCGTAATGAAGAAATGCAGCAATAAAATGCTGAGCGCTCTTTGAGTTTCCAAGCCTTCAGAAACACATCTGAGCTCGGAACATGAATGGGTTACTTAAGCAGCGCCACATTTTTCACACCCCTGAATAAGATTCAGAAAACGGTCAGTGGACAGCTGGCAACTTCTGTATCTTACCCAACACAACCAAATTAATCTATTTAAAAGTCAAGTACATAGAAAACAAGCAAGTGGAATAAAGGTGGTGTGAATTCCTTCAGGAAGGCCTGGACCTGCTAGTGTTAAACTACAGCTCACAAGGAGAAGGGCGAGGCGCTGAAGGGGTCAATGGCAACACTATTGTCTTAAATGCAGACACCCTAAAGGGCATCTAAGTGCTTCAGAAGTCCTCAGCTAAATAGATCTAAAAAAGCATTTTAACATCATTCTTCATGTTCCACCTGTTCCAGTAACCTGCAGCTGGCGAAAGGTAGAGAAACAGGAACGGGGGTCAGGCGGCAGCGAGGCGACGCAGCGCCAGTGGGCTTCATCCTGCACGACTGCACCCCGAGGAGACAGCGCCGCTGTGTTGCATGCGTCCTCAAAGCTCCCACTGACAACTTCGCACAACCCTCCCATTCCCACGATGGAGTGGGAATTAAGAAACTTAATACATGCTTGGATTTTACAACTGATACACACACACACACTGATTCGGCGTGGGCAAACGCCAAGGTGACGAGATCAATCCAAGCGCGTACTCTAGCTGTAACCTGTCACACAGTTCTGACTGAGAAGAGCCGATGCAGTCGTTACTCACACTGAAGAGTTTTCATGAGGAAACAAATACTATGGATAAAACTTGAAGTTATTCCAAGAATCCCTTCCTTCGCCGTATCATTTTTTTATTTCTTCACAGTGTTCTTTATCAAAAAGCCTTAATCTCAGGGCCTTTACCCTGAAACCAGTGACACCAACCATGGCAGATGAGGGTGTGGGAAGACGAGTGCAGCACGAGATCTAGATTGATCCATCCCTTTTCTAACCTCTATCCAATTTAGAGCTGTGTTGGAGCCTCTCCTGTCAAGCAATGGGTGCAGATAGTTTGCAATGAAGACAAAACCAGTACTGCTGTCATCTTGCCTCATTTAGCAGCACTAAAGAAAGATAATCTGATATTGAAGCACAAACCCACTCCTCTTGATGAAAACAGTTTAAACACTACCTTAAATCCCCTGACCCTTAAAGTGGACACCTCCACACAGTCAGTGCCAACCCCACCTATCTGAGGCTGTGGCACCGTCAATCAGATTGACAGGTTTAACTGTTTAACCGAGTTTGGTTCATGTTACCAGGACCTGATCCAAACCACATCCAGAGGTGGTTTTGCATAAGTTCATCTGCCACACCTGCCGAAAGGTTAAATGCAAATGGCTTGAAGGTTTTTGAAAAGGAATAACATCGAAACTGCAACACCATATGGATTCTGCCTTTCAGATACAACGTACAGTACAAAAACAAGTCCATCCAGAGAACAAAAAAAAAGACACCCGCCAGCTGAGCTGCCTTTATTCCTGCACTGAACTGAAAGAATGCATTGTTGATAGGACAGAGAAGAGAAATATGTACTACTTCATGCTCGTTTATTATAAAAAAAAGCAAACCAAAGAGAAATGTTTAAAAACCCGTTGTGTGTGTGTACACAGACTGCTTGTTCTGCTGACCTACAGAAGCTGGTCTTTCAGCAGGTACGTAGTGGCTGTCTGTGCAAGCTCTCCCCATCAGAACGGCACTCCTACAGCCTCCTGCGCGCGGTCAGGAGGGCCGGCCCAGGGCAGAGCCTCGTGCTGGCCACGCCACCCCGACGGGCCGGCTGCCAGGGCACCGCTGCTGCCAGCGCCGAGCTCCCTGGAGCCTGGCCCGGAAATGCTTTCCGCTGCGCCCCGACACCCTTTACCTGCTGCACATCGCAGCGGGTAGAGCTGCACAGCTTGGACAGCTCCCCTCTCCCTCTCGCCAAGTAAACCCCTATCTGTCGGGGTCTTCGACTGTCTGAGGACATTAGATAAACAAAGCTTTTATCATCTGCCATTTTTCCTTGTATGCTCTACGGACAGCTAGAAAGTTTTTTTAGGGGTTCATAACCGATGACATAAGGCTTTCAAAAGGACAGGTGAGGAGAGGTGTAGAACACAGCTTTGCTACAGCTCATCTGAGCAATCATCCCCCATCTGTCAATGACATTACTGCATCTGCTTTGTGTGCATTTCAGGCCTTGTCTTGCAACATTTTAAAGTGCCATAATCCTGAAAATAAAAAGGTCTGCCTTAGCATCTTAGTCTTGTAGGATAGTTTTGATGCTACAAGCAGGCTACAGTGTTACTTCAGTACTGACTCAGCATCTCATTAAGGTGCGAGTTTTTCCATAATCCTTCAGCTTCTTTTCAACTAGGACACTCAGTGAGCAGCTTATCCCTACACCTCTGTTCATGAAACACTAGCGGGGTTTAAGAGCTGAGGCAGACAGGGAAAACCATTATCTCTGGCGCTTTGTCAGTATACTTTGGAGAGGAAAGAAGAGCAGCCAGCGTCCTGCAGCACAGAAAAGCTAGTGCTGAGTCATTATGAGAGCTGCTGCTGTGTGTGAATCAATTGTTCTTGCACAGGGCTGTAATCTCTCCCGACAGCAGCGCAGGCCTCACGACGCCCCTAGCGGCGAGCTCAAGGGAGGCCGGGCAGTGGGGCCGCTGCAGTCCGAACCCGGCAGGATCACTGCCCACTGCGGCGCCCTGTCCTCGCCACCCTGACACCATGCACAAGAAAGCTGACCAATTCAGCACTGCCCTTCAAGGCTCGGACACCGTTTCCACCATCTTGCAGCCACATGTGTTGTTCTCAAGAGGTTTTGGGCACTGCCACACAGGCTTGCCTTCAACCCACAAACCCCAAGGATGCACACCCGTGCCACTTCACTCCCTCACCTGCCTTGCGGGAGGTATACATCAGCGGGCCTCCTGAGCTGTGCTGCGACACACTCGCTGTGCAATTCAAGATCTCCGATCTGGTCATGGTTTTTATCGACACTACCTAGAATGGACATTAACTTTCTAGATTCAGATACAAGCTATTGCTGAGCAGTGAAGCAAATCCGAATAAACATTTTTTCATTTATGGAACATTTTAAATGAATCATTCCAAAACCTACAGCCAAGATGGAAAGTTAAATGAGAACTATGACTGACTAACCGTAGTACATATCAAGGATTCATTAGAAAACTTTCGATCTCCAGCAGTTACAACTGAAAATCATACTCCTACTACGATGTTGGAGTTGCAACTCCTGCACATACAATTGCTCTTTATTCACCTTTTCATAATCATTTGAAGCCCCCCCTAAGTAAAAATAAGTAGGGGGCTATGAACTAAATAGAACATGTACTGCTCAACATTAAAAAGGAAAAGGTGTGATAACCTATGTACAAGTGAATGTCTACCCTTAAGAGAAGACCCTATTTCACTAAACAGAGCTTCCCTTTGCTGCAAGGGGTTTGTGGACAAGAATTTCTGTTGATTGCTCTCCAAGTCTTGAACTAGCAACTGCTCTCCGCATTCAGCGCTATGGGCTTTGCACCAGGATAGGGAGAGCGAGGGGGGTTTTCTCTAGACACCCCAGTGATCAAGGCAGGACCTTACACTGGCCACTGCTCTACCCACCTGAAGCCCACTCCACCCGGGTGACTCACAGCACAACTCTCGACTGTGACCAGGGCCCCCCAGGAGGCAGCCAGCTAATGTGGAGCCCAGGCACCTAGAATTTTACTTCAAGAGAGTGCCTTTCCTGTTGAAAGACAGTGCTTTGTCTTTATGCATTAAGATGAATCATTTAAGCACATTTTACAGCCACCTGAGACTCCATCACCTTGAGCTACTGTGACTGTGACACTGGTCACAAGGGAATTACTCACTGCACTGGTACCACAGACTCCACCTGGAGCCTGTTATGGTACAAATCCCAATCCCCAGCTGCACCTGAGCCTATATTAAAGGCACATGCATTTATCCTAACAAGCAAACGTGTCAGCATGGTAAGAGGGAGCCCTACACTCAGTGGAAGTGGCCTAGTAACAGTGACAGGTCACAGCTGGTCAGAAAATGGAGAACACAACAAACGACACGGACGTCCTCTTACTGACATTCAGTCACTGCAGGGAAAACCACTTGAGCAGCGGTGCAGATGGCAGGAAGAGGGGCAAAAATGTGATCTTTTCACCAGATGACATCTGCTCCAATCAAAGCAAAGATCTCTTCCGTTACTGAGCCAATCGCCCAATGGCGGCCCAACTGCCCAGGTCCCCACCAAGGGGTCATGACAACTTTTATGCAGCTGTATTAAGCAACTGCCAATGGTTCGATTTATCTTGTTTCAATAGACAAAAAAACTGAACCAAAAGGCTCTGTATGAACATCACCTTTAAACCCCAGAGTAGACATGTATTTGGCAGTTGTCTACTTGATTCATCTCATGCCCAACAAGTCCAACAAACTTGCAGGCCTTTTCTTTAAGGCACTTATAAAGTTTCAGGCAGCAGTGAGGTCACTGCCAACAGAGAGGGAGACGAGCGAAGGAACGGGACAGGACACCCGATCCAGAACCCTGCCTTACGCGCCGCTGTCTGTAACCGGAGACCAAGAGCCCCAGGGCAATGAGTAATGCAAATGCCACCTGTGTGGTGAGAAGGAAAAGTACGAAGGACACAGGTATCCATCTGAGGTCAGGCTTTATAAAGGCCAGTGAGGCACTCCGATAAGAACGGGGAAAAAGGTCAGAAATCAACACTTTCACGGCGCTAACTTCAATAACTGTTGTAGTTCTTAGATAATAATGAAGTGAATTTCTACACTTCAGTCTCTTGAAGTTACTGGAGTGATGCAAACAAAAAAAAAAACTCGTCTCTGCAGAAACGCACCACAAGCTGGAGAAAAGGGGCCACTCTGGCAGCTCCACCTAGTTACATCATCTTTATATCCAATGATTTCCAGATAAGTAGATGTTTAGCCTGGTAATGTTTTGACATCGGTCTTCTCACACAGGAAAAACAATCCCCTTTGGGTGATGAATTCCAAGATCCGGATGCAAGTTTTTGTTCCCCAACCAGAAGATGTTTTGGTTGATCAGGTTTTTAGAGGAACATGCCGCTCCAGCTCTTATGAATCAAATATAGAAAGCGTCCAGCTTTGTTAGACATCCTTCTTAAATAGCTTCAGTAACCCTGATTCAATTTCCCATAACCTTTGAGGCATCCTGATTTGTAAGTGGTCATGTAGGTTCTGCTGCATGCAATCAAGAAGGACTAAGAGGATCCCTTCTGGTAAAATCGTCCTTTTACACCAGACACAGAACACTGAAACCACGTGCCTTCCCAGGTTACATTATACTCCAAATACAAATTCCCTTAGTTTTCCGTAGAAGCTTTCCACAGGTCCTGGAGTAAGATTCGAGTTCTGGAAAACCCGTTCGACGCGTGTAGAGCAGGCAGTGTGATGGCCTCCAGTAGGGCTCCGATTCACACTCCGGTCTCCTGTGAGTGGCGGCCTCTGTGCATTTCACTCTGAACCCTGGGTAACCCCCAGTGCGGTCAAGTCAGGGAAGAACCCAAGTGACTGGATCATTTTTATTAATGTGCGTTCGGTGTTTAATCACTGAACAGTAAAGTGTAAGGTAATGCACTGTAGTGCTTAAAAAGTCTGTCTCCAAGGTTAGACTTATTATTCACTGTACCATGTATTCTTAAGTGCATGGAATATCCAGTATTTAATTAAAACACCTGTGTAGAAATAAGCGCTTTTGACTCAAATTCGGGGACCTTCAAGACAGGCCAACAGACTCCTGACAAAAGCTGAGGAGCTGGTGCAAGTGATCACAAAGCTGGCCTCATTGGTTCAAGACATCAAAAGATGGGATTCCCTCTGATGAGAAGACATTCCTCCTGAACAGTTTAATTAAACGTTATCCTTTCACTAGGATTTTTGCCTTTTGGGTGAAATGTTTTGTTGTGAACCAGTTGATCACTTAAAGCCATTACTCAGTGTTCAGATTTTAACTGAAACATTTTCGTCTATCAATTCATGTCAGCAGTTACAGCTTTGAATTTTATGGACAACTGCACTACTTAACATCAAATCAAAACGTTCTTGAGCTTTTACACCGGTTGGCGAATTAAGCGTCAACAGAACGTGGAGCACATGTCCAAAGACACAAAACTGGCAGCTCATATCCTCTGCGTCAACAGATCGGGGCTGATTCAACCCAGGACAAAATGAAAAATGTTCACAAGAGCTCTCAAGTCAGTTTTATTAAGAAAGTCACTGGTGGCATTAGATAAAGGTCACCAGGAGACTTCAATAAGAGGGGTATTGCCAGGAACCAGAAAAGGGCCAGCTTTGTGATCTGTATTAAATTCAGTGATGCAGAGGCACTTCATTCAGCATTCATGTGTTCAGCACTGCACACACAGTGGCACAGGTGACCATTCCAGAGAGGGCTCATGCACAACCCAACACAGGAACCACCACCACATGCGCAGCTGGAGAACTGCTGCACAAAGCTCTTCATGTAACAAGGCCACAACCGTAAACCCTTCCACCTCCACACAAAGGGAAACCCATAACATTTTAAGGTCAAGATGATCTTAGCACACCCAATTCAGAACTCACTCCCATTGAGCCGTGTCTGAAAGCACACGGCCGGGCTGGGCTCCGTGTGCGCCGGACCTCCAGACGTACCTGCGGCCTCCAGCAGTGCCTCCAGTCTGGCCTGTGTTTCTGGGTCCACCGTCCGCAAGTCTGCCCCGTCCGCTGCACTCGACAGGAGCAGCTCAGACGCCGTTTTAAGCATGGGGTTGTCCAGATCCTCCTGGTCCAAAATGAAAGACTCCACCTGGAAGACAATTCAAACGAGAGGCTTGAGTTTCCCTGCACGTTTTGCCATGATGGTCACCAACACCTCAGCTCACTGGCTGCCTCGAGGAATTACAGTCTCAATAGCCAAGGGCGACTACTGGCGACAAAAACATACTTAAGGAAAAAACATTCTACCCAGTCAAAATTCTTATGGCCACATTTTACATTTACAGACGGCAACAAACACCGTCTTTTACTTATTCACATAAGCCAACATTGTGGCGTTTTGGGACAGAGTGAGTTTAGACAAGTGCGGGCAGTGGAGGACCCGCACTCAAAGACGAGGATGTCTCGGACATGAGGCCGGGGATCTAGAGGGGCTCGAATGTACAGAGACAGCCGCGAGACGAGGAGGAGTGGGGTGCGACCATGACGGAGGACCGCCGGCGAAGGAGCGGAGAGGGTGGCGCAACCCGAACGACAGCAAACTTCACAGGAGCAGGAGGGACTTCGACGACCGATCAGACCCTCAGAGGGTATCTCACCGAGACGAGAAGTTCCCACCTTTATTCTCCACCCCGTGTAGATAAAGTGAACCGCCTCAACGCATTTCTGTTTCCGAGATGATTTTCCAAACCGGAATATTAGCCCCACGCTCCCATCTCGATGACGGGAAGCCCACAGACCGCAAGAAGTTTGAAATTGTGACATCACCACCTCTGCATTTCTGTATCTGATTATACTGCCAAATGGGACTTCAGCACCAGTGGTGCCTACATCTAGAGCAGAGAGGTGGGTACAGGACAGTGGCGTGGTGCAGTTACTGAGCCGAGCTTCCTTGTTAGACACCGATACCTACTACACCTCCCTGCCATCCTCCAGACCCTGCACAAGGATATGAGTGCTATGGTGGAAACAAACCGCAGGGACACGTCTCCTCAGCTATGGAAGTTCAAATTAAAGCCAAGTGATTCGCCCAGTGCTGGCAGTGTCTTCCAGATACACAGATGGGGACGGATCAGGACATCAAGGTCATCACGGAGTGTGTCCACAGCAGGGAACCGAAAGGCTTCTGACTGGGTCATAAGCTCAAAGGCATTGAGGACTACAACTGGCATTACAGCCACCCTGACCAAGAATTCATACTGCAAAACAGGGGAGAGAGGAGACCTCTACATCTGCAATACCTCTCCTGGCAGACCAGCGTCATGCCCAGAAACATGCCTGGTGTTTAGCCACACTAAGCTGGCGGACAATGGACAACGAAAGCCAGCTGCAAGCAATACTAATTTTAGGCCGACTGTTGTAATTATTGGCTATCCTCATTACTGTTCTCTTTTCAAGAAAAATACAACTGGAGTTTCGACACCGATGCAGTCAAAATTAATTATGAAATGTAATGCAAGGTGACAGTTTTTAAAAAAAACTGAGTCATTTTGAATTGTTTCATTAATGACTTGGCCCTTGTCACTCAAAAAAAAGTGTAGAAGAAAGATCCTGACAGGCTTCGTCAGTGCTTGAACTACAGACTACCAAAACCTCCTGGTTAAACAAAGAACTAAGAACAAATCAGTGCCTTACTAAGTAGACCTACAGGTTCTTCGATATGAATAGATCAACAGCACAGAAAAGCTCAGACTAGTAAACTCCCAGAAGAATCCAAAGCCAGACACAAACGTAAGCTTAAGCTTTTTAAAGCAGTATTTCTGCTCTGATTTAGCACCTTTTCAGATGGGAGAGTTAAGCCAAACTGTACACAGCTCTGGGGGTGGAGGGGTGGATGTGTGGTGCAGTTTAGGGTAAACCTTAACTGGGTCATGTCCTCACCCCACACAAAGCACTTCAGATTAGTAAAACCTCAACCAGCAGCAGCCCATTCAGTCAAATTAACACCAGCTTGTTGTGATCTCTGAAAGGGCAGTTCAGCATTCTACTTTCCCATGTATTTTAAAAGCAGCAGTCTAGATGGCCAGATCAGCAAACTGAAAAATGCAAAACAAATTTACTTTAGACAGGTATGTCCTGGAAGCGATTAAAGTATATACTATATCCTAATAAAGGCCTCAGTCCTTACTCCCTGACCAGCTTAATAACTCATTCCTGCTTGATTCCTACTGTACAGGAAGGACAAAGCAGACTGAAAAGAATATTCCTCTCTGCACAGCCATGCAAAATAATCCCAGCAGCTAAACAGTAACAGAGGGGATGTGATCGCCATCGAAGAGCAGGGCAGCCGGGCAGCGCTGATGCACCTGAGCCAGCGGAATTACTGTAAGCCGTAAGTTATGACATTACTGGGAGCCGATCAGCGGGTTCCCTGCCTGACCTTGACCGCCGAACACCTGCTGCCACTCTCCGGAAAGCCTCACATTGATATTTTATTACAGAGGTTAAAACAGGCTGGACTAGATACCAGCACCTCCATCTTCTTGGCGTAAACAAACACAGAGGCACAGGACAACCAATACATAATCCACAATCAAACCAGACCGGCGCATCTAGGGTCTGCATCTTAAACCCGCGTGCCTGTCAGGAGAAAGCGGCCTGTAAGCAGCCAGCTCATTCAGTTCGAGAAGCAGGGACCAAGAGCAGGTCTGACTGCGTTTCAGTCTGTTTCCTGTCTGTACACACACTGAAGGAATACAAACAAAGCCAAAGGACTGCATAACTTAAACACAAAGCATTTACTTAGGCATTGATAACCGCTTCCCCCTCAGTATTTACCCACGGAAGCTCCTGAGAGGCTCAGGTGAATTTGTACAAAGCGCCTGAGAGGTGCCAAACAGAACACAACAGGAAACAATGAAATGCCACCACATTACCTCCAAGGTTGGTCATGCAGTAACTGCTATTTCAATGTAAAATGAGAGTTTGCAAAGCAATTTTTAAACACCAAAGATTTCAGACCGCCCTAGAGGAAAAACTCTCTCATATCACCACTACTTTTTTCACTCCAGATACAGTAATTAAGAGTTAAAAATTGCTCATGCATGTTGTGGCCACAATGCAATTCTAAAGTATAATATACAGGTATTTAAAGAACTAGAACTATGTAATTCAACTATTTTATAATTATACACTAGAATACATCCTGTGTACATAAATGCACTTCTAACATCTACTTTAGAAACGACAATCTTGAAAGCCATTTTATAATATCTCTGAGAAAGCCTCAGCAGAAAAATTTTTCAAGGACCAAGAAAAGCAGAACATGAGAAATCATGCTGGACATGAACGGCTGCCACCATTGCAGCTGCTGTATCCATAAGCCTGTTGATCTGGCTGCTGAGGAGGCAGAAAGCATCCATGCGCGCACACACACACACACTACCCCCCTCAGGGCTGGCCAGTAAGCCACTGCCCGCGTCCACAAGCTGCTGCCTCCAGTGTGAATCGCAGGCCTGCAGCCTCCACCATCCTATGAAGCACTAGTTGCCGCGATAGCGTCGGACAGGGAGCATATTTATATCATGGAACACATCCACCAGAAACAGGATGTTCTGCCAGGATTTCCATAGCGCAAGAAGTCTTTGCAAATGAACACAAAAACAGCAGCAGTGTGTCAAGGCAAGTGGCATTTCCTGGCTAACCATAGCGTTGAGGTGAACCCCCAGAATAATGCCTCTGCGTTCCATGCTTTGATTAGATACACATACAGACTCTCCTCCCATTCTCTTTGCTGTCTGTTAACAAGACGTCGGCTTCACAGATTCCCCAGCCCAGACACGACGCCTCCAGATTCCCCTTTTAACTACAAGGGTCCCACCGGAGCACTGAAAGCCAGCAAATGGCAACACTCCCTCACTGCTCTTCCTCCAGGAACTCTGCCCTGGCCTCTCATTTCACCAGTGCCGACGGGAGGACAACACTCGGGTCACGCGCCGTCAACAACAATCTGACTGCCGGCCCACCCGCGGCGAAACCGCCCTGTCAAAGCAGGTTCCTGCTCAGCCCCCCAAAGGAAATGTCAGCTGAACTGACCACTGATGGGTCTGTAAAGGTGTGAACAGAAAAAATATCACTGCCCAAGTATGCCCTCACACAAAATACTAAGACAGAAATCAGAAATCAAGACTTACAACTGGCACTTCATTTTAAAATGGGGTATTGTAACATCAGTTTCAGGGGACATGAGGTGCCTTCAAAACACTTACAAATCTGTACTAAACGATGTTACTTAAAAAAAACAAAGATGAGTCCATTAAATGCATGCTATAGGACACGTTTCAACACATGAAATACCTGAACAAAACCAAACCTTTTTCATGGCCGAGTGGAATAGTGCACTGGCCAGGGTCTGGAACACACTTCACGAACTCCAGTCGGATCCTGAGGGAAAGCAGGATTCCTGAAGTCAATGCTGACAGCTATATGGGCAGAGCAGTCAATGACAGAATTACTGCACCAGCTAGACATCTTTCTTTAAACTTGGTCAGGGCTCACTAAACCCAGGGTAATGTTTCAGTGATTCAGGGCCGATGACAAGAGACTCAACAAATCAGTTCTCTGTCCAGATCAGTTTATCAGACACGACAGTTTAAGTCATACAAGCGCAGCTCATTAAAAACACACTTGCAAGATAGGTGTGGCAAGTGAATACTTAAAAGCAGTTGGCTTGGATTCACTGAAAAAGTCTCGAAATTATAATTTCATTCGATAATGCTGTAAAGGGCAATGTTGCCATACACTCATATAGTATTAGCAGTTCTTTCCAGAACTATTGTGGCTCTTATCTGACAGTAACCACCTTAATAGCAGGTAGTAACTGTCAACACTTTGCATTTAATATTTTATTTAAAAAACTCACATATTGAACGTTTTGTAAACAACTACTCAATGTGTCTGAATCTAGGACTATATTTAACCATACACAAACATGCCAAAAAATAGCAGTAATTCACATCTGTCACTTTCACTGAGCTGCTAATGTTACATGTAGGCGAGAGAGAATTTAATTCAGTTGTTTTAAGCTGTTCATGTAGGTTAGTGTTCAAATATACTCAAGTATATCAGCTATAGGTAAGGTAAAATAAAGTG